TAAAATGATTAATTGCAATAGTAAGAGCACATTCAACTTAGTTTTCAACTCCATTATACCTCTTGGCTTTAGTTTTTCATCAAAATCGTAGGTATCCTCTATGATTTTTTCAAAGCTCCAAAAACAAAAATACAGCCACGTCCAAACATTTCTTTCATCAAAATATTTAAGATAATAGATAAAGTTTATTGATGGTGACTTTTTCGAATTTATTTGTTGTGTTTTTTAATTATTTTGAAGTACTTGCACTCAGCACCACTATTTCAATGAAGAGCCCATATCAAGGGTATCCGTCAAAAGTTATGGAAAACAAGAAGATGGAATGCAAATGTGTAGGGATTTCTTTGATTTTCTAAAGCCTTTCATTTGTTTTAGTTGCAAGACTCGAAGTGTCTCAAAAAAGTCTTTGAATGTGAGGAGGTCCGGCAATACTATTTCATTGAACACAACTGTACATAGGTGGTTATTCTATCTATTAAAAGATCAAACAGCGGCTGCCCAAAAAAAATGCACTGCACATTTAGATCGGTGTCAGAGAGTCTAAAAAGAACACGTTTAACGATCGTATCATAAAATGAAATGTTCTTCTGCTCATTGCAGAACATTTAAGTATCTTCAAATAGTAGACTTTGTATTCATAGCATCATGCAAAGCCAAAACCAACTGAGCTCCACCCACTGCCGCCTCCAACTAACTGACAAATGGTCGGGACAATGCTGCACTCTAAGCTCAAGTCTGTTTCTAGACTCGAAAGTGAGTGCGGCTTGGGATTTGTCGACTTGATTATGCATGCACCGATCGGTCGATCGATCGATCGTTCGGTGTGGAGAACCACTAAAAAACGGTTTATTCAAGCCGGAAATCGCTGGAAGGTCGCCCCGTCTGGGGCTGTTCAAAGCTCTCAAAAGTGGCGGAGCGTACAAAAAACTGTCCATGTGAATCATTTCGTTTAATTGCAGCCTACGTGGAAGCCATCCCATCATCAACATCATGATCACCATTGAAGTAATGCTGATCGTGATGATGAGCCTCTTGCCATCGCCATAATATTGGAGGCGTTCTTGAGGCCACAACAATTGACGTACATTGAACCTGAAGTCAGTGAAGCCGGCGGATGGGGCTGCGGCACTCCTCAGAACCGAGCCCCAGAAGATTCGTGAAGAAAAGGCGGTAGGAGGCCTACAAAGCCATCAAACAATGAGTGACAAAAAAGCATTACAAATATTTTCATTAAGCAAACAACGTCGAGAAGTTAACTCGAAGCGGTAAAAGGTACAAAAAACTTCTTACCAGAGTTCCTCTGCTTTCGGGAGGAGTGCGCTGGTTGTTGCTCGAGTGGTGGGGTGGTGGTGCCGGAGAGACGTGCTCCGATTATGCGAGTGGTTCGGTTCGGTCCTCAGGCTCGTGGCACAGAAGCGGCGGCGGCGAGGAGGTGGCAGCGAGAAGTGTTTATAGCTTTGGTTTTGGCTTTGGTCGTACGCATGGATTCGGGTATTTCCTGATTGCCTGGCGAGAGGAGTCGCAGTCGCAGTCGCAGTCGCAGTCTCAGTCTTAGTCTCCCTCCCTCTCCGAGGCACACACACACAACTCTTGCATAATAATTGACAGTTATACATTTTACTTGACTCAAACATGCGCCCAGGGAGTGAAACCAGAATGGGTGCAATAAAGACAGAAAATGTTCAAAGACAGAGGCAGAGACAGAGAGAGAGAGAGAGATAGAGAGAGATGAGGGTGTGCCTAATTCTTTTGGCTGTTGTCCAGTTTTCGGACCCTACTTGAATTCCCACATTTACCAGGGCATTACACTCCATCCCACTCCAGACCCGGGAGCGAGCCCTAACCAAAAGCTCACGTAATTGCCAGGAAGGCGCTCAGGGAGCGCAGGGGAGGGCCTCCAGTCTCCTCCAATCGAAGAGAGGGAGAAAAAGATTCGGAGAGACACAGCCTACGTGCTGAGCCTCTTGGAGTTTGGAGATCTCGTAGCCAGAAACGCCAACCCAAAAGATACGATTGGAGCGCATTAACATTCCGCATCGCGGCCACTCCTGTTTGCGCACATCTGTATGCAGATACGGCCATGCGGCATACGGCATACGGCATAAGGCATAAGGCATACATACGTTCAGCACTCGACATGTTGAATAACAGTTGTTGTTTTGTACGCTTTTCTCGCTCGCTTTGCTTTGCTCTCTGCTGTGCTGTGCTGTGCTTTGCTTTGCTGTGTGTTTTTATTACAATTTTATGACTTTTGTTGTAAAAGAGTTGCCTGGAAGGCAGGTAGGCTGGGTTAGGGTAGGGTTGGTACCTCTACCTGCAATGTCTGTATGTGAGTCCGTTCACGTATCTCTCTCTCTCTCTCTCTCTCTCGCTCTCTCTAGCTCCGTTAAGTTCCTTTGTACTTTCCTGCTCCTCGTACTTGTAAGTTTCTTTCTTTTTCGCTGTTTTCGTCTTTATTGTCGGCTCATGAAATGTCAATTTGAATGTCAAGTCATTCGCTAGATTTGATTCGAACTTTCGCAGCTGTGGCTGTGTGGGGGAGGCAAGAAACGTTGCGCCCAAAAGGGGGTTGTCTAGGGGGTGCCATTTAGGTGCTTCACAGATGCTGAAAACCAAAGATCGGACCAAAGTTTGAGTGGAGCCCAACTAAGGCTCCGCCGAAAAGTGGTAAGCTACTCCATTCCGATGGAGTTTTTTTTTCTTGGTTCTGCTGCACTGACTCTAGGCCCCTCTCTTGTGCAATTACCAAATTGCTCATCAGTGAAGGGTAAAACATCATCATTACCATCGTAATAAGCATTCTGACCTCCGCCTGTCCTTCGATTGTTACGCCCCCTTCCATTAGTCCTGTTTTCGAGTTTCGTCTGACCTCGGAGTGGCCTGGATCGCTCCCCTTGATGATGATCTTCATAGGCATCGTCATACTCTAGCAAAGGGTACAACGATTTATCTGCGAGTTATTTCAGAACCTAAGGAACCCACTACAATCCATCATAATGATGTAAAGGTATTATTCAGATCATTTCGATACATTTTGGAACAATATTTCATGTATTTACGATAGGAACGAGAGTTACGCAAGGGTATTGTCCGGTAGGGGCCCTGAAGATAGCCTGGGGACATAATTTCTTGTTTTATTTCGGCTGGGGTTTTTATGTACGGATCGTGGCATCCATGGCAATGTGCTTGGTGATGGCTGGTAACTTGATCAACGTGACCTCGGCATCGCTTGACTCATTCTTCTTTCCTTTCGCAGTCGCAATTGCAATGTCGCTTGCTCCTTCCCTGTCTCATTCCCTCTCCACTCGATTCTTCTCTTGAAAATTCCCAAACTAGAGGCTCCTCCACTTGAAATTCAATCAGTTCCTGCAGCTGCTGCTGCGAAAATCCCCAAGGCCAGGCGAGAAGAGACAGCAGCTGCCTGACAGAGAGCTTGGGCTAAAGGGTGTCGTTTCCCTAATTATATGGACCTCCCATTAAGGACTACTTGTTCTCACTTCCTGGTTCGCTGCACTCTCGATCAATGCAGCAGACTTCCACAAGGCAGTGAAACAAATAAATGTAAGAAACACTGCGTTCCAGTTTATCGATCAATTTAATTAGAAAAACCATCGATCAGTCGCTCAGCTCAGCGAGAAAATAAACAGACAAACAACAGAAACAATCCAAAGAAGTGTACGTAAAAAATTGAATCAGAAAGAGCCATGGAAGTGAATGTTACAACAGGAGCTGCTTAGACCAAGAATGAGGGGAAAATATTACCCCCATAACCACAACTAGAGAAAAGCGATTCTTTATCCACTATTCGACAAGGAGATATCCTTTGAACTGAAAGTTTTAGTGAGAGCATTAGTGAGAGTATCCACAAATTTCCATGATGGTTTCAGAGAAAACTAATTGATCCCTGCAAAAAGACAAACATACCAGTACCATAAAGTGGAGTGGATCCTGGATACCCCAATCGAGAGGGTATGAAAAGGTGTCACTTGGACACTGGCCAAACCCCCGACTCACAGGGTGGAGTCCCCTGCTGAACGAGCGATCCGAAAGCTGCAGTGTATTACCACCACACACTCACACACACACATCACAGGCGGGTGGCGGATGGCGGATGGCGGGTGGCGGGAGGTTGGGGGGTGAATTGCATAAATAAGCAAATGAGCAACGGTTAATCAATAAGCTCACAGATTGGTAATACTCGTAATATCTACATCCGTAGCAGCAGCAGCAGCAGTAGCAGCAGTAGCAGCAGTAGAAGCGGCGGCGGCAGAGGGAAGGGAATGTTGTGTGCCCTGCTAATTGCAGTTGAGGCGGCCAAAACGGTCGAAGCGGCGAACGCTGCGTATGTGTAATGCGGTTAATCAACAAAAGGCGACGACGACGGAGACGGCGACGTCGACGAACGGCCTTGAGACCAGCTGACAACCAGTTTTTGGTCTTATGAAATAGCCAAGAGGAGATCAGCAGAGAAGCGGCCAGAGCCACTCGGGGAGAGTGCGAACGAGATGGTATCCCCCCAAATGCAAGTGAATGTCGATGTCGATGTCGATGTGGATGGGTTTTGCCCCGGCCAGGCCCGTAACCGAAACTAGTGCAGTTTTTTGTTTTTTTTTTGTGTATTTAACACTTTTTTCTCTGCCGAGTTTTAAGGTGAACTTCCTCGTTGCCAACGCCATTGAAACGGGCCACGGCAGGTGTGAATGATTTAGTGGTTAACACGGCCATAAGCAAAGTATACCAACTCCTGCTCCTACCCGAACGACGATCGTCCGATCGATCGACCGACAGATCGACCGATCTATGGCTCGGATCATTCTCTGTCTCCGCTGCGGCCGACCCACGAACCGCAGTCGATGGCACGAAGCCCAGTCGGATCGAACCGACAGCAAGCCCACGAGACGAAGCTCAGTCGGATCGAAGTGGTGGTCCCCGAAGTCAGAGCGCCGGCGTCGACGCTGCCATCGGGCCGGCAGCGAATGGTTTTCAATAGTTGAGGCGTTCATTATTTTGCCATTTCACGTTCAGCTGGCAGCGAAATCGAAAGTGACTGCTCTCTCAAGATACCCAGACCGAAGCGGAGACCGAGACCAAGACTGAGACTGAGATCGAGACCGCAGCCCCCTCGAAGACGATCGACCAAGAGGCGACACTTCCAGTTCATGGTACCCATATATCCTACGAAGCTGCAGCTGTGTGTATATATGTGTGTGTGTGTGTGTGTGTGTTTGTGTTTGTGTTTGTGTGGTATTCGTATTCATATAAAGACAGAGGTCCATGTGGATGAGGCCTGGCAGTCGCAGAAGCAATCGGAACCGGCAAAAAGTGCACTGAGAAAATATTTATTTATTTTTTTCTTTGAATTCATTTTTTTGTAAGTTTTTTTGTTTGAGTGCTAAATTAAGTAACACACACACACACACACACACACATGCACACAGCTGCCCACGCCTATGGGTGTAAGCACCCACACCCAGAGGGATATACAAATGTAGAGACAGATCTGATAGGCGCTGTCAAAGAAAAGAAATAGATACAAAAGAGCATAAAAATAGCCCCCAACGAGCAATAAGAAAAGTGAAAAGTGAAAGTGCAACTCAAAAATGACCAAAAGTGAACCACATTTACAACCAGCAAATAGCAAACAGCAACAGCAACCACAAAATACAAAATACAAAATACAAAAAAGCAACAACAAACTGCAAACAGCAACAGTAAAACCACCAACAAACATGCGAAGTGTGGGCAATATTTAAACAATATATCAAAGTGCATAACAATTACCAATCTTTTCCGAAAATCAATTTCTGTCATTCGATTTCAGTCTGTCTGTCTTTTTTGTTTTTGTTTCTGTTTCTTGTGTTTGTTTTTGTGTTGGTTTTTGTTTGTCATTTACTTTACACCACACTCTTTTATTTTCGTTTGAAGCTGAAGCCAAATAGCTGTTGACTTTCAAAAGTGTCAATAAAATTTATGTTAAAAAACAAGTTGATTGAACAACAACATTGAACGGCAGCGAACGGCCAGCAAACAACAGCAACAGCAACAGCAACAACAACAACAACAGCAAGGAGAGCGACCAGCAAGCAACAGCCACAAAAGTGAACCGCCAAAGGAGTCACCAAAATGCTGCTCAAAATGTATGTATTCAAAACACTCACTCACTCACGCACTCAAAAGTGAAATTTGACTCATTTCACTACACACATTAACCGGCTCAAGGTCAACGTGGGTTTCGGCCCGATTATGTAAGATGATCATCTTGAGGATGAATATCATCAACATAATTTATTTTGGTAAAAGAGTCCGATGAGCGCACAAATCTTTGTTTTATTGATTACAATTATATAATTGGAAAATGCACAATTTGGGTTTGGTCTTTGAAGACCACAGGAAGAATAAAGAATGCATTTTCCACTCGAATGATGGGACTTTCCCTTCCTTAAAGTTGAGAATGCGTGCAGATGGCATTAGACATTTTTGATCATTTCCATGCCTGTTTTCTATGTAACAATATTGCAGTATTCAATTAACTGGTCTTTATCTTATCTCATTTTATTTAATCTTAATGCAAAGTTTTTAATTCCATCCAACTTGTCAGTGTTTCTCCTTAATGATCGAAGTATCTACAGAAATTACTTAGTTTGCAAATCTTGTCTAAAGTTAGTGGAATGAAACTTCCCGAGTATCAGTTTTGGACCCAATCAGCTACCGTTTCAGATACAGATACACTGGAATTTGGCCTGCAGCAGAGTGTTAACCTTGGCCAGGCCATGCCCGTTAGCGCCGCATTGGCAGTTGCTGCGAGTATGCTTTGATCGGTGATGTGGTCTGGTTTAGGTCTGGTCTGGTGTGGTGTGGTCTGGCCAGTGAGCGACAGTCAGTCAATCAGTTGGTGGCCGACTTGCTACAGTCGGCTAATATGCATGAAATGTGGCCTAGGCGAGGCGTGGCAATGAAGTTGCTTTTTTTATGCATACGCTTTTTTATGCCAAAGGTCAGCCCAGAGAGGCTGCGGCACGGCGATCTCTCTTTTTTTCGGAAAGGTCAACTATGCAAAAAACCAAATGGAAAAGGAGGTAAAGTCAACAAACCTTTGACGACGCATCCACTTAACAATGCAAAATTTATTTTACTTTACATTTCATGGCTGCTAATATTGTTGCTATTTCTTGGCCGATGTGGCTGCTGTTTTATTGTTATTACCGCTACCGCCACCGCCACTGCCGTTACCGTCTTCAGATTGCCGCTTCACTGCCTCTCGACAGCGTCAATGGCCTGAAGCTGAAGTTTGAGTCGAAGCTGAAGCTAAAGTCGATGCCGACTCTGCCACCGAAGCACTCCACGCATGCGCCAAAAAGAAAAAACAACAAAAAACGTTTTCATCTTTCTTCTTCTGCTCAGCAGACATGCATTTGGCCGGGCAGAAATGAATTGCCAAATTTTAATACAAATTGCATGCCACACCCAGACAGCACAGCACTCCTCCTTTGAGCAGTGCAGAGGCGGAGGCAGCAGCGGCAGCACCGTCATGGCCTTTCCAGCCCCAACTGGCCAAGACAATGGGGCAGATCAGAGCGGTGGATGCGAATGCGAATGCGAATGATGGTCGGGCCCGGTCATGTCACTCACTTTACTTTACTTCACTCATTCCTTCAGTCAGTCAGTCACTTGGCAATTACACTCGTAGAGTACTTATAGAGTAGCCCTAAATTTTAATAATAAGTAAATGCACAAGTGACTTTAATCAGTCATTCACTTTTTGGTTATAGACTGATGTAAATTTACATTCCCTTGAGACAACTGAGGAAAAACTTTGCATGGAGATCGAAAAGTTTCAAGGCTCAATGTGGCAGCTGACTGGAAATGCATTTAGGGTCAAATCTTATTCGTTCTCCTCATTTGTGCCGCACATTGAACACCCTTGCGGATCCAATTATTTCTCTTTTTATTTTTTCTCTCTTAGTATTACAAAATAGTTTGGCATTTAGTTCAGGGGACTTGCCGATAATTAACTTCAAGGCAAGCCAGCGCCCTATTTGAAGCCCATTTCTTGGAACTGCATGAATCAGAGATAGACAAATACCAAGGCGAATTTCTGACCAAGTTCAGATGCTGTAATTGAAGCTAACAAAAGCGGTCTGCGATCGGACGAATGAGCCAAAGAGTGCCAACGGCTATTGAACAAGTTTAAGCCGAACGAACTGAAATGTAATTAAGCAAGATTAATAATCAGATGAGGCATACTTATTCTTGAGCAGAATTAACCTACGTTAAAGGTGGATATGATATTGTGTCCTTCTGTTTTTTATTAGCTTTTCAAAGATCGAAATAGCTCTGTTTAAGTACCAATAAATCGAGTCAAGTAAATGCTGCTCTTCTCCTCCTCCCATTTTCCTGTGTTCCCTCCTCAGTAGGGGGCTGAGGATTAGCTTCACGTTTCCACCAACTTAAGATCAACTTAATAGTCTATCCCTGTGGCTCAGACGATACTTTGCAGTTTGGGGATTATTTTGATTGAATAAGACTTGGGTTTGCAGCCCACTTCCTTGGGACATCTTTCAGTGGTTGCCTGCTGCTTGCTACCGGTGTGGTTGCCTTCATGTCTTCACGAGTGTTGCAGCAATTGTGAATGGAAAACTTTGGCTGTGTGCGGTGTGTGGCGATGTGCGCATTGTCACCTCATGCATAACATGGCCAAAGTGGCAGACCCTTGTCCGAGAAGACACCAGCCACACCGGCAATGGCAACATCAACGGTAACTGCTGCTGCTGCTGCTGCTGCTGCTGCTGCTGCTGCTGCAAGGGGCTCCGTTGGCAATTTGCACGATGTGGCCATAATTATAACTTTTCTTGAAGCCATAGCCACAGCCACAACCATAGCCATAGCCATTGTTGGGCAGCCCGTTTTGGTGCTGTTGCAATTAAAATAAGTTGAAGTTGTCTACCTTTACAGAAAGCAACAGCAACAGCAACAGCAGCAACAACAACAACAACAACAACAACAACAAGGTGTTGCCAGTCTTGTGGCAGTCCCAAAACTTGTTCGACTCAAACAGCATATAAGAAGAGAAGCGATGGGAAAAAAGCGAACGGCCTGGCCGAGTACGATTTGAACATTTTGCGACTTGCACATAATTCAAAATGTTAAAAGTTATCGTCAAGAGAGCAACAGAGTCTTGGGTTGTCCCGATCAGATCGGGAACTCTGCACAGAGTCCGGGACTGTAGAGAGACTGCAGTCACTGCAGCGACTGTGACTGTGAATATCGAACACCCGGGTACTGGATGTCTGGCGTCTGTTGTCTGTTGTCTGGGGTCTGGTCTTGGGATCAGATCGGGTTTTAAGCGCATTGCTGGGCATGGCAGCATATTGAAATGGGTTAACACCTTTTGTTTTGGAAACCTGTCCGGGCTGCCTGCCATATGATTCCTGTCTTTAGTTTCCCGATCGACACGCTGAAACGGTGATCAATTTGGAGCGTTTTGCGGTTTGCCTTGAGCATCAGGCAACGTCCAATCTCTCTCCCTCTCTCTCTCTCTCTGCCTGACTTTCTGGGCCTGCAATGCGGATTCGCAGAGCCCAATGAACTATTGTTGCTGTGGATAGTTGGCGTTGCACGATCGAAAAGCAGCAATAACATTGCTGCTGCTGCTGCTGCTGCTGCTGCTCGAACCCATGGCTAGACATGACCAAATCGCATGCGCAATCGCACTCTCCCCACCCGGTCTCCCCGTCGCTCCACAATCCGCTAGGTAGGTACATATGTCTGAGCCGGTGTGTGTGGCTAATGAAATTGTGAAAGGTTTTTCATGCCAGATTAGAGACGCCACATCAGATGAGGCAGCACAATGAGCCAGCAGTTGCAACTGGAGCTGGAACCGGCTAGCCATGATCGCTGATTAAGAGCACGCGCTCTCAACGATCACTTAACGCGAACTGCAGCTGGAGCTGGAGCTCTCGAGTTGGAGCTTGGGCTGCATCCAGTGCTGGATGCTGAAATTTGAGCTGCAACTGGAGCTGGAGTGGCTTTAATTGGGTTAACCATTCGCTGACTCAACGTGCAAACGGTTTCGCCTTGATCTAAATGTCTCAATTAAAGGTCAGGTGTCACATTAACAGCAGGATAATGAGTCATAATTGGGAGTCATCTAATGCAGGGGTAAACCACGCAGGTAGTCGCATGTTTTGCATGCGCTGACAACAGTTACAAAGTCCAATAACGGTTCTTGTTATGATGCAGTGAAACCTTTTTCACTTGTTTCATTCTTCTTTCATTCTTAAGTTCTACAACAACAACGAAGCCCAAAAACGTTTCTTGCTTCTCTGCCGCTGCGGGCAGCGAGCTAGGGTTCCGAAAATGTTCCTCTGCCGCTGCGGCGGTTCTCTCTGCACACGAAGCTTTGACGCTTTGCGTGTGTCGACTGCGCTGCCCGAGAATCTGTTTGCTATGCACAGAACTTACGAGGCCAACAATTGTAATCTCTCTGTTTGTCTTTTGCAGCTGCATACTGGGCCTAGGACTGGCCATGCTGGTGACATACCATCCCGCCGCAGCTGCCGCTGCCGCTGCAGAGCCACAGCCACTGACACCTAGCGAGAGTCAGCGGGCAGAGGAGACAGTGGCCAGCGTACCCTTTGAGACGTCGCACAAGCACCCGGAGGCCCACAGCGAGGACGGTTTCCATACAGCGCACCGAATTAGCGTGAGGGCCACCGACGCTGCCGACTACTCGATGAATCTGCTGCCCACGAAGGAGCGGCCCGAGCTGAATCCCGTGCTCAGCGCTTTGATCAACGAGGACGTGATGAAGAGCATCGAGGCGAAGCGCGCTATCGAGGAGGAGGAGCTGGCCGAGGTGAGGCGCGAGATCGAGGAGGCGGCGCTGGCCGAGCTCGCACAGCGGACCACAGAGGCGCCAGTACCACAGCTGACAACGCTGCCCTCGGCCACCAAGAAGATTGACAATCTGGACGATGAGGTGGTGGTGGATCCGCACGACGACTTCGTGAACCAGAACTTCCCGCTGGAGGGAGCCGGCAGCGAGAACAGCAAGAAGTCGCGCATCGAGATCAAGAAAGGACCCAACGGCCAGGACTACGAGTACGAGTATGTCTACTACTATGATGAGGACGAAGATGCCGCCGCCCCGTCCAAGCCGACCGTCGTGGAGGCCGCTGGCGACCCGGAAACCCGCGGAAAGACTCGCTACACCAACATCGAGCGCAGCACCCCGGCCAGCCCCAGCGAGAACAGTCTGCAGAGCGGCAAGGCCAAGGGCCGGTCCTCGTCTTCATCAGCATCCGTCGTCAGTGAGCCCGCCGAGGACATCGAGCTGGAGCGTCTGCCGGTGAACACGCGCTTCCCCAGTCGCGGCAAGAACATCGACGTGCCGCCAACGCCTGCTCTGGACTCGCTGGAGACGGCCGCCGAGCGCAAGAAGATCAGCGTGAAGCGCCCCAGCCTGGAGCTGGTCGACAGCGAGACCTTCAACACGGACGAGAAGCAGCAGAAGGGCTCCCGCAATGGCGACAACGAGCTGAAGCCAGTGATTGCCGTCGAGCAGGAGCAGGCCGCCGCTGCCGCCAAGGAGCGGGAACTCAAGAAGCAGGAGGAGCAGCAGGCGCAGGGCGAGCTGGCGGGCATTACCGATGAGGCTGAGCAGACGACGCCCTCAATGGAGAAGGCGGCCCTCGATCTGTATGCGATCCTCACCAACGAGAACCTCAACAACGAGCAGACGACCTCAGACGATGGAGCGCTGGAGGATGCCACAACACTCAGCCCGGACACGGCCAGCACAGACGAGGATGACGGCAGCCTGACGACGCTCCAGGAGGAGCTCTCGTCGACCAGCAGCACGACCACCAGCACCACCAGCACCACCACCACGGAGGCACCCACCACCACCACGACGACGACGACAACGACAGCGACACCCTCATTGTACGGCGGTCGTCGTTCCGGACTGAATGGCCTGGCCGGACGCAATCGCTTCAAGTTGCGCGAAGGTGGAGCCGCAGCCGGAGCCACAAGCACGACCAGCACCACCGAAACGCCTGCCACTGAGGCCACCAAAACGGGCAGAAGTGAGTATCCATCGGCGGGGGGAATCTCTTAGGAAACGTTCTAGAATTCTCTCCCTTAACAGATCGCTTCTCGCGTCCATCAATCGGTGGTCGTTCCCGTCCTGGTGCACGCACCACTGCCAGCCCCGAGTCGAGTTCCGCAGCCGCATCTGCCGCTGGCGCAGAGGAGGAGGTCGTGGCCGTCAAGGAAGTGAAGCCCGTCAGTTCAGGATTCGCGCGCGGCAGACGTGAGTCCACGATCCACTGAGAGTGCCCCACAAATTCTCATTTCTCTCTTCCGCTCTCTGTACAGCCCGCAATCGCTTCAACCTCCGCGGCTCGACCACAAGCAGCACCACCGAGAGGTCCGCTGAGGAGGCAGCCGATGGATCTGCCTCCCCGGATGCTGTGTCCTCCACAACTGCACGCAGCACACTGCGAGGTCGCCCTGGTCTTGGACTGAGAGGACGCAGCCGCACCACCACCACCAAGGCGCCCGCAGGCGAGGGATCCACCGCCGATGAGGCCACCAACTCGGAGGAAGGCAAGGCCGCCGCAGCACCGGCTGCAGCTCCAGCGGAGGGTGTGCGCCCTTCGCGCTTCAATCTGCATCGCGCCGGAGGCAACCGCCTGCTGCCACGCGGCAAACTCGGCCGTGCCGGAGTGAGCACGGAGGCTCCCAAGGCTGAGGCACCCGAGGACTCGGCGGCGGACAGCACCAGCCACCACAACGATGTGAAGGGGGCCACCGTGGAGGCCACCGAGGGCGCCGAGAAGACTGAGGGCGGCGATGCCGCTGGCGCCGCCGCAGGGCCCGTGTCCGGCTTCAATCGCCTCAAGAACCGGCCGCGCCTTAACGCTCTGCACAAGACTGATGCGGCCAAGCCGAAGGCAGCCGCAGGCGCAGCCCCCTCCCCGGCGGCGGTGGCGCCACGCAAAATCAACCCGCTGCTAGCCAAGCGTCGTCTGCACCTGGGCGGTGCGGCTGCGGCAGCAGCTACCTCGACCACAGGTGGGTAGCAGTGCCCCCCTCCATGTCGAGCTCCACTTTTCATTCTCGCTCTTGTTTCTTTTTTTCATACAGAACTCCCCACTGAGGAGGAGCACGCATCGTCGGACGGCGACTCCGCAGAGCACACAGGCAAGGAGGAGTCAAATGCCGGCTCCGATGAGTCCGGCTCGGACGGTGCCGCCAAGGATCAGGATACAACAGAGGCCGCGGAGACCACCACCAAGCAGCAGGCCCGCGGTCTGGGTCTGCTCGGCCAGCGTCGTCGCCTGCCACTGCGTAAGCCCGGCACAATACTGTAAGGCCGGACAGGATGGATGACGACTGGCCCTCAACACTGAGTGCGCCCAGAGGCACAATCTCTGCCCGGGGAGTACTCAAACTCTGCCTACATTTCAATCCTGAATTCTGAATTCTGACTCCTAAATCCTGAATAGAATACTCGTCCTACTTCTGGGTGGTTTCAAACGCGGTATACTCGTAACTCTTGTGGATCGCCAGCGATATTTTCACTTTAAGTTTCTTGTCCCCTTTCCCCATTTCCGTTCCCTGTCCTCGGCCCTTGTCCGTTCCACGAACGCAATTAGCTTTGTACACATTACACTAATTACTATACTTATAAATACGAAGAATACTATTTAAGATCCTTCGCGAAGTCACCAAACGAGAGAGAAAGAGAGAAAGAGAAAAGAGAGAGAGTGCGAAAGAAAAGCGAAAGAAACGAGGAGATCTAAGCCACTTGTAGACCACTAAGCCGAGAATGTTACTGCAATGCGATCCCCCCAAATGCTATAGCCGCGTCGCCACGGATATGCCGTGCATTGCAGTTACATTATCTATTATATTTTTTTTGAGATACATTTATAAAGAAACGACTTTTAATTATATACTAAATAAAAAAACAAAAAAACGTAAGGAAAAATAATTCCACGATTCTAGATTTTATTTCTTTTGGTTGAGGTTGAGTCACGGTGTCGGTGATCGATAATTACTTTGATCCGTTCTAGGAAGGCAGTTGAGAAAGGGTCCAAATTTCAAACCAATTAAATTAATTTTGCCACCTCTTTCTGGCAGAGGCCCCACTGTGCGACGTTCTAATTCATTTGCTAATTACCTATTTAATTTGTAACAAACTTTGATCAAATTTGTAACAAACTTTTGTCTGCGGAGGGTTCTGTGCAGCTGCGCTGCTGCCACCGCCGATTGCTCTTATCGCAACCTTGACGCACACCACGATTCTCCGATCTCTGGCACTCTCCATTTCTGTACTTTTTATACCCCTTACTCGAAGAGCAAATAGGGTATATTGTATTTGTGGGGAATAACGGTTGTATGTAACGCACAGAAGGAAGCGTTTCTGACCCCATAAAGTATATATATTCTTGATCAGCATCAGTAGCCGAGTCGATAGAGCCATGTCTGTCTGTCCGTCTGTCCATCTGTCCGTCTTGTTTGTCGGCTAGTTCTCAGAGACTATAAGAGCTAGAGCCACCAAATTTTTCATTCAGACTTCTGTATGCTCACACTGAAACCAGTGTATTTCAAAAATGAGTCACGCCCCCCTCCGCAAAAGGGCGAAAACCTCCCAAATCTACAATTTCGAAGATAAAAGAAAACTAAACTAATTGGGATCCGATCGGATCATTATTATAGCCACAATGGAGAAATTAATTTCCAGTGGCTAAACCCACCCTGTCCCGCAGCTTTTGTTGTTCTTTTTACATTATCTCATTCACACTCTTCCGACTTTTAACCCACCCCGTCCCGCAGCTTTTATTTGTTTTTTTTTTTGTTTTGTGTGCGGACGGTGCCTCTGCCTAGAGTCTGCAGTGTGTGGGTCTAGGGAAGGGCTGCGAGCTAACGGAGCGTGTTGGTGTGAGAAGTGTTGTAGATGTAGATGACAGATGACAGATGAAGAACAAATTTAAAATTTGACAAAATACCGCTAAGGTGCAGATGTAGTACTCAGTGCCGGGTATAAAAGTTGTGCCGCGTAAGAAGCGTCTCACACGTCCCTTCTCGTTGTTGCTGTTGTGCTGGCCAAACATTTACCTAACGTCGGCAGACCCGCTTGGCGTTACATAACGTGGTCTGTGGCTCGAGAACTGCCAGCAGGGGTTTGGGTGGGGCTGGGGCTGGGGCTGGGGCTGGGGCTGGGGCTGGGGCTGGGACTGGAGGCTCTTCAAACAGAAGCCAAACGGTGTCAAGAATCAGCCAGCATTGAACCGAATAAGCGTAATGCCTCCCACGCCACCCATTACAAAATACATACACAAATATGTGTGTGAGATACGAAGTAGATCTGCTTATGAGAGCAAGATCGCCGCATAAAAGCTGAGGGCATCGCATCGAGCAGCATTAGATATGGGAAACAGTTTCACCATGCAGCTTCGATGTATCTATTTTGTGACCGTTTTGGCGGGTCTGCTGTCGCGCTTGGAGTGCAAGACTCCCACCTCGATCGTTGACTTCGATGATCCAGCCGTGCTGCAGCGCTGGAATCGCGCTCTGCAGGCCATCAACGATGCGGAACGGCAGCGCCAGCAGGACAAGGCACAGCCCAATCCTGTGCCAGTGGTCCGGAAACAGCGACCCAACGACAAGCGCCTGAGATGGCGCAGCAATAGCAAGCAGCTGCGACGGCATCCTAGGAGGAGCTTCGCAGGGCAATCAGCCCGTGCTGCCGCCACGTACACCTCCACAATAAATGTGAATGCGCCGAATCCGACTTATCTGGATGTCAAGGATTATGTGCGATCTGAGCCACCTTGGTGGTTCAACTGACGCTTCAAACTTCTACCTTCTAGCTTAAAGTATTATTGAATAGTCTCTTTTTTTTGTACAAGTTAAGTGCTGCACAGTTGCTGCCTGTGGAGAAAGTTATCGTTTATTCCTGTATTTATTGTTGTGGGCAGATGTTGGAGATCTGCTGAAACCCTTGAGCATGGGATCATGGCAAAAAGTGTAGAATTGAGATTTACCAATATTATACCTTGTGCGTTATGTGATTTAGTGGCACAAACATTTTATCTGTCTGCACAGCCAAACCATGTCACACGGACTGTCAGCGGCTGAAGGGACAGGATAGATATCTCAATCTGTTCTTCAAACATTTAAGTCTTGCTTCTGTAAAGGATTTAAATCAATTACTTGCTATTAATTATATTACGGCTAATCTAAGCAGCACATGCATGGCCTGACCGCTTACGGCGTGGCTCATTAGCGAGTCACTCAGCATGGAGTAATGTTTTAATTTTTAATTTTAAGTATCTAAGCTAAACAAATTCAAACATGGCATGGCATAATGACACTTTCGTGGCATATTCTACACCCGTATGTCTCGACAATTCGACAATTACTTAAGCTTTGATTGCTGCCGCTCCATTTGGTTTCTTCATTCGTTGCTGAGCTTCTGTTTGGCCAAGACAGCAACCTGCACGGCAAAACTTTGCAGCACTTTAAGCGCTGAGCCAATAAAGTGAACTCCACTGAAGACCCGCAGGTAAAAACCGGTTGGAAACGGCACCGATCGGAACTTGGGGCATGACCTGCGATTGAGTTGGCTCCCGCCTCCGTTGCTGCTCGACAGCGATATGTTTCAATTTGTTTGCTTTGATTCAATTCGATTCGATTTGATGGCAAAGTGAAATGTTAGCATTGATTGATGGATGGATATCGACTCGGCAATAATGGTACGGCAATGGCAACGGAATCAGAGTCGAATTGCGTGGCCACTGTCCAGCAGCCTTGTGGGCATAGGGCCAAGATGGGGTGTGGTCGGGTCAGTTATTCGGTTACTAGCTCACTTTGGCACCCCTCTCTGCCAATTTGCAATTCTGCAAATCGATTTGAATTGAAAACGCAAAGGCAGCGCTCCACATTTTGGGCCGAATCATTGTCAACCTTGACACCGGGGCGTATACGTAATCGCAGACCCAAAAGCTAAGTGCAAACCCAAAGCGGAACTCAGGGCTTTGTTCAACATAAAGGTTTGTGTGAGGTTTGTTCGAAATTTCCGATTAGCAGTTGGCCAATGGCTAAGTGGGTTTGGGCCAGGCCAGGCCAGGCAATGCCATTTTGCTGCAGTGTTTCGATCGTTTCCATCGTTTCGATCGCTCTTTCGGTTCGGTTGTTGCATTTTGGGCTGTCGTCAAATGGGGAGGAAGCAGAGCGTGTCCGTGGCAAGGTCAAAAGCTTAGCACAGTCGGAGCCATCCAGCCAGCACCAGCGATGCACTGAGAGAAAAGAAAACACTCACAGAGCAGGCAGCTGCCATTAATTGAGGTGCTAAATTTGTGTTGAAATTTACTCCCAGTGCAGACTTGAGTCCCTCCTGCCACAAGAACTTTGATTAGCAGTTCTCCAAGTAAGAATTAGCTGGCTTGTTCAGCTTCAGTTGATAATTATTATTAAATTAAATGTTGGTGGCTGCTGCTGGCTGCTGCCTTTCCATCTGCCATCACCAACTGAGGTTTTAATTAGCCAAGACAAAGGCACAGTTTTTATGCATAATTAGAGGCTTACAATTTGACGTTCAGCACACGCCACTGGTAGTCCTTCACATTGCAGACCAGACAATAATATTCTCGATCATAAAAACTGAATGTAATTACGTGCATACAGCGGGTACATGTGTATGTATGATTACGGTTTGGAGTGGGTTGGATCTGGGCAAAGATTTTGTTTCACAATGATGATCGGAAGTCATTTCTGTATCTGTCGAAGCTCTCCTGAAGCTGTTTCATATTTGCGTGCGGGAAACGAGACATTTGCATTTACCTCTCTCCCCCCAACTCCAATCCTCTTCCTCCACAGTTTAATTTAAATACCATTTAATTGAAAACTAATTGCCTCGAGTGGACTGACAAAGCGCGCGACGACAGCTGGACGACATCGTTGTGACGTTTGCAGCTCTCTTTCCAGCGGCAGCTCTTGGTAGCCACTCTAATTGGCAACAGTCAAAGCAGCGGCAACAACAACTTTTCACCAGATAACTGGCCTAATGCAAAAACGAGTCGAAGCTCACCCCCCCCTTTGAGAGACAGAGATGCCCCGCAAAATGGAACACGAACTCGATATTTAATTACCTCATATCAGTAAATTTCCAATCTCTGTGGCATTTTTCACACATTTTCTGCAATTTCCATGTATGTACATAAATATAAATTTGAAACACGAAACTCTCAAATGAGCTGCTGGCGCAGCATTTTGTGACATTTCTCTCTGTGCAGGCAATCGACCGGATAATTGGAGCTACCATTCGTTTATGATAACTTTTAGCTTAATTTTCGATATTTATTCAAAGAGATATTCGATTGCGGATTATTTAATGAGTTTGGGCAATCAGAAAAGGGTCTTTTATGTGGCATATTTTTCCACACATCAATGGAGCTACTTTATACAGTGGGTGCAGAATGATAATCCAGTTAAAACCAACTCCCCGGTAGCCCCATTTTATGACTCACTTTGGCGACAAAGAAAGGCAAACACTTCTGGCAGAAATAACCCAAACTCAGACTCAGCCTCTGGTAAGTGTCAACAAAAGATGTTGGCAAAACGTGAGCCACTTCTAGTTTCTGATCGCATATAAGACGCGGCACACTTTTCATAACATTCAGTAGACAGCTTTCGCTCTCTGTCAATCGTGAATCTCTAATCTAATCATGAAGTTGCAATGGCAAGTCATTTTTGGGCTGATGCTAGTCTTCGCTGTGCTGGCATCGATGGCTGTGGCCCAGCCCCTGGAGGAGGATGACGTGGATGATTCTGGCTCGGATGAGTCGCTGCTCGGTGATGATGAATCGTATGAGGCGCAGGCAGGAGAGGAGGGCAATGTGCAGCAAGATTATCTCAATGTGGCGGACTACACTCGACCACCGCCC